AACTTTACGGCGAATTAACAATTCAGCTTGACTGCTCGCGATGTAATCGGAAGTGCGATTTAGACTGGATAAAAAAGACTGTAAGTGACCTTCCGATCAATAATATAAAAATGCACACGATGCTGTAATAAATTACATTAATAATTTTCACTTGGAATCATTGATATTATTAAAAATACGAAATTTTAATGTATAAATAACAAATTATATTTCGATGACATTTCTTATTGCGATTAATAATAATTGATAAATTTTAATATTATTTTCATTTTTTAGAAGGGAACGTAATTATATTTGAAGAGAGAAAGAGAGAGAGATAAAATTCTTTATTATATATCGGGTGTTTCTTAATAAGTACGAACAATTTTAGGAGATGATTCTTTGTCGAAAATTAAGGAGGATTTTTCATATAAACATACTCCTATAGCTCTCTCTATAAAGTTATTCTCCTCCAAAAATGGGGGTGAAAATTAGGTTTTTATTTTTTTCTCAAATTTGGAACAAGTTAAAGAAATAAAATTAGGTGGGTATTTTCTACTAGTAAAAGGGTTATTTATTAATATTTTTTTCAGCCTTACGTATTATTATAAGGGGCTGAAACTGGCAATCCCTATTCAATTTTTTATTAGAACTTCTTAATGAACCGAAATATGATCATCTAAAAATATGCATTAAAAAGTTTGATTTACTTAGAAACTTTTTTATTTCTTTTATTTTTTTCATAAAATCAGTAGTTTCAAGAAAAAAAAAATAAAATATCGTGCACAGTACGATGCTAAATAAGTTTCGAATTACGAGAAGTTAAATTTTAAAATTAGAGTACATATTGGGAAAATTGGAACAAAAACAAAATTATATTAAAATCCAAAAAATCCTAAAAAATAAAAGCCTAATTTTTATCCCCATTTTTAGAGGAATGTAACTTCACAGGGAGAGATGTTTATATGAAAAACCCCCTTTAATTTTCAAAGAATCATCTCTTAAAATTTTCCGCACTTATTAAGAGACATCCTGACCATGTGCAATATGGTTCGCAATGTCGCATAAATTATAATGCATCGCGCGATACATTAGACATATTTACAAGACATGAAACTTTCATAATAGTTTCTCCTGCGACGAAGGAAACTTGCCAAATGGACCGTCGACGTAGGTCTCGTCGTTCAGACGGTGATTCTGCGCGAGGAGGAATACCTCTTTCGGCGAACCAGGTTGGCACACCAGCTCCTCTCGTTTCTTTTCTCGTCTTTTTCTACCTCTCATTCTCTTTCTCTCCATTTGCGCATATAAATAGCGCGGTCCAAAATTATCGGGGCACTTCAGCGAACGGTGCCGCGAAAGTGGCGTCCGAGAACAGACCAGCGATTTCTTGCTAGCTATAAAAATATACGCGAGAACGACATGGATGCCCGATTGACGACGTGCATTCTTCGACGAAAAGCAATTATACGAAGGCTGGAGAATGTAGAATCATTTATATCTTTTTTAATCTTTACAGTCTAAATTAGTTTCATTGAAAAGTGTGCAAAAATCAGCAACAGATTGAACAAAATGATATAAATGTTTTTTTTTTAATAATTAAAAATGAGCAAAGTTAAGAATGGATTGATAATAAATTTTTCTAAAATATTATAATAGAATTAAGCAAAGTTAAACTTTTTTCACGTGAAACTATTCATTAGTTACAACATTTAACTCGCTTCGAGTTGTTTTCTTTTTGTGGATATTAAATATTTATGGATTAAATATTTTATTTTTATTTTAACAGCATCAGTCAATATGTGAATTGTATTGATTTATTTATTAAAATTTGCTGCATTAAAAATACCGCAGTGTATTTCGGAGACATGATAGTTAAGTTTTTAAGATCATAAATTGTGAATTTTAAACGAAATTTTAATGCTCACACCTCGATGCTGAACTCAATCAAAAATTTAAAACACGCGCGATCAGCCTTGAATAATTTAGACGTGTTGTATGGCACGATATATCGTAAGAAATTTTTAAAAATAAAGAAAAGTGTATATAGATATTTTTTAAATTAAAAGGAGGATTTACTTAGTAAAAAAAAATATTAATTTTTATGAGAAAAATATTTAATTGCATCTAAAACGGATGTTTAACTAAAAAATGATTTTCATAATTTTGTTTTTCATTTCTATAATTACATAATTTGAATCTTTTGTGTAAAAGATATGATTTTAATCTCAAAGTATCTTTATACAACTGCGGTGCATAAAGTGAGGAAAAAATTATCTTGAAATAAAAAAATTTTAGTTAACTCAAGAAAGCTATTTATTCAAAACGTCTATTTGCTTAAGTTAACTATTTATTTACATATGTTTAAAAAATATATATATGTTTAAAAAAAATATAATTTTTAATTAAATATTTTTATTTTAATTTTACAAAATATTTATTAAAATACATTTTTTATTCCAAAAAATTTTAAATCTTTCAATTAAAAAAAATAATATATTTAATTTAATAAATTATAGTATATATTTTACGAAAATAGTATTTAAATATAAAAAATATATAAATGAAAATAATGTACTTAATATAATATGCATATTTAATTAAATACTTTTGCTTAAATGAAATAAACAATTCCTTGCATTTAAAGCAAAAGTTACAAGAAAACAAATTTATTTGATTTAAAAAAATTTTTTCCCTCAGTGTACTCTGATAACATTAGTTTGATGATCGCGTTAAATTTGAATAATTGTAATTCGAGTTGAATTGGCATCAGTTGCATCCGATGACGCGGTCGATAATTACGCGATTAATCGATATATATAAATCGACGGTATTAGAAGAGAGAGACAATAATGTCGAGAAATTACAATTTTAACAAATTTCATAATAAGCATAGATAGACAACGGTAAGCACGAAAGATCTTGATCGCTTATAAATGGAAATAATCTTATTCATATGTAAACGGATCTGAACTGTTGAACTCGCTCCTTCATTTCCGCTTTCCATAATGTGGCATTATTGTATAATTCCACGAGGATGATCTGTCTTGAATATTGAATATGCGGATAATTGCGTTTAATGCAATCCCCATTTCGACCTTCACCGGATGATTAAAATAATGTTTTAATTAGATATTAATATATTAATGTAAATAAGTTAATTCGAAAGTAAAAAGAAATATATATATATATATATATATATATATATATATATATTTAATATAAAAATATTTAGTGTATAGATTAATTAAAAATAAATTATATACATATGTATAATTTATTTTTAATTAATCTAATCACTAAATATTTTTTAACAAAACTAAAAAAGTATTTATATATAATTCAATAATTTACTAGTTTAAAAAAACCTGTTGTATATAATATAAATTACATTTTTGCTTAATAGATGTTGAACTTTTAACCTATGCTTCTTATATTATTATTAATCTTATTATTATTAATATTATTAATATTAATTTAATTATTATTAATGTTATTAATATTAATATTATTTAATCATATTATTATTATTATTATTGTTATTATTATTACTCTTATATTAATCTTATATTATCATTAATCATTATTAATACATTAAATTAATATCGCAGAGAATGTGCTAAAATGATGCACATTTGAAAGCGTTATGTCATTAAAACGGAATTTAGTAGAATCGACCCACCGCAAGATGCGTAATAGAGTTTCCTATATGAATTACATATATTCAGAATTATTATATTATGCGTTTCCTATGTATTTCATCCACGTTTTAGACACGGCTCTATTATTTCTTCGCTGCGGAGAAATATCTATTGACAGATTATTATTAGCGATTATTCACACTTTATGAGTATTTTCCTGATTGTGAAAGTATAGTGCGGAAAATATTAGCCAATTGCTTTTCTCTTTTGCAGAATTTGTGATCAATGAATTAAATATACGTATTTTCGTTATATTTTAATTTTTTTACCGATTGATGTGCGATTCAACTGAAAATTTTATATTTCAACTTTATGCAATAAATATGATACGGAAATAAGTGGATTGTTATATGATGGATGGAAATAAAATGAATGAGATATCGATATAAATATGTGATAGATATATTTGTGCATTTTACTTTCGCTTCGATAGTGTCGGATTTACAAGAAATAATTAAAAATTAAAAATTAATAGCGCGATTAAATATAATTTATCATGATTTAAATATAATGAATCATTTATCTTTCATTATTTTGTATATGTTCGCGATTGTGTAAATATGATATTTTGAAATACATATCTTTTATATGAAGTCTAAGAATCGGAAGAGAATTTGTAATGCAGTTATAAGATAATAATATTTGATGACTCGGCTAAGATTTTTTCTCCCAACATAATTACTCATAACAAATCGACGTATTTATACGCATGTAATCGATGGAAAATAATGCGATACGTAGTAAGAGGGAATCCGTATTTTCTTGTCCCACGCATGACATCAAGAGTGCATTAACGTTCATGTATTTATGAAAGCGTCATAGCAAAACTGCATCCTAGAATTTACCAGTATTATGATATTTTACTGATGCGACCTTCGAGCACTTGGGATAATCGTCGTAAACGGCAGATATTATCCGAACCAATGATCATCATCGTAAATTCGATGCGTCACTAATGCCTTACGTAATAAAAAAAAAATCTTCTGGCATAATAAAAATAATCAATTCAACGCTCGTTATTTCGGGATTTTTTTCTGCACTTCCCCGCATCAACCGCGGCGTCGTATCGCAGCATCCCGATACGGTGCAGATTAATCAATAATTAATATCGATTAATCAATGATGCGCGCGTTCGCGGAATAGTTTCGCCGATTCGCGCTGAGAATTCCTTGTGAATCACTTCCCCTCCTCGACATCGACGACGTCTGTTCTCTGAGTCACCTGAGAGTCCACCCGATGAGATCTCTCGCCTCTTCTCTTCCTTTTTTTCCCCCCAACTCCGACAGTCGGAGATGATTAAATGTGCTGCGCTCTTTGCAGAGACCCACACTGTGGCGATGACAGACCCACAGCTGACTAACAACAATAACAACAACAACAACAATAATAACAATAACAACGATGGCGAGCCAAAGTACCTGCACAAGAAGTTCAAGAAGATGGCGACGACCGAAATCGCGCCGAAGGTCGTCGAGTCCAGAAAGGAGACCGCGGCGGACAACATCGAGACGCCCAAAACGCGGAAAGACGTCGACAAGGACGGCAAGGAGTCACCGAAGGAATCCGGCCACAAGCTCGAGGTTTCTCCGGAACCCGAGGGGACCGAACCCGCCGCCGAATCACGGAAGAGCGGCCATACGTGTCCTTACTGCAAGTTGACGTGCGCCAAGCCAAGTGTTCTTCAGAAGCACATCAGGGCACACACGAATGAGCGGCCCTATCCGTGCAAACCGTGCGGATTCGCTTTCAAGACCAAATCGAATCTGTACAAGCACTGCAGGTCACGCTCTCACGCGCACAAAATGGAAAAAGGCGACAAGGTAGCCAGTGATTCATTATTAAAGATGAAAATCAAAGTTTTGATAAAAATAGCTATTATATTAATTGAATAATTAATACAATATAATTTTTTTCTCTTGACGTGACTACTTGGTTTAACTTAAATAATTTCGTCTGACATTTTTTTAAAATAAAATATTTATTTTATTTTAATAAAATATTTTAATAAAATATTATAATAAAATATTTCAATAAAATATTTTAATAAAATATTATAATAACATATTTTAATAAAATATTTTAATAAAATATTATAATATTATAATAAAATATTGTAATAAAATATTTTAATAAAATATTTAATAAAATATTATAATATTATAATAAAATATTATAATAAAATATAATAAAATATTATAATAGAATATTATAATAAAATATTTTAATAAAAATACTAATATTTTATTTTAAGAAAATATGAGTTATCGATAGAAATACCAAATTCAATTTCATTTTCAATATAGCACTTTTGCAATTTATAACATAATTGAAGATTCATTAAATAATTTAATATTATTATTTAACACTAAACATGTTCTAATTTATGAATTTTTTGTAGATGTCTGAGGATTCCGATATAAGCCTGTCGGACAGCGCCAGTAATGGAACTGGTACACCACCCCCGCCTCCCGTTTCGACGCCCACGACGACAACGACAACAGTATCTACGGCCGCGGTGAAGATTGTGAAAACCGGCAAGATATACAAGCCGAAGTTTCAAGCTCGAACGGCTCTACAGTGCGTCAATAGCGATACGGAAACGTCTTCCTTATCACCCAGTTCTTCCAGTAGTTCCTCCTCCTTCTCTTCCATGACTACTTCCGCTTCCAATTCCGTCAAACCGAACGCGGAACAGTTGCAGGAACACATCGACAAGATCATTACGGACAATCAGGCGATTGTCGATGCGGTGGATCCACGATTGCACAAGTTAATGCAACGCCAGCAGAGTCTGGTGGAGACGAAACAATCGTACGAGCAACAACCGTTGAACTTGTCTTCCACCGAAGAAACTTTGAATAGCAGAAAGCGTTGCTACAGCGACAGCTGCGCTCAGGAAGCGAAAGAAAGCGCGCATAACTCCGAGAGTTCGATCATTAAAGACCTCCTCTTGAAAACGCGTGATTTTGCCAATGGATCAATGCCGGAGATTACCTTGGAAAATTTCGTCTGCCCAACTTGCCATATTCCCTACACCAGCATAGACAACCTAGAGGCTCATCGTAAATATTACTGCAAAGGTAGTCTCCGAAGAGGAACGGATTATCAAGCGGAGTTGGAAAAACGGGACTCCGACTTTGATTCCAAGTCTTCCGATTATTATGGCATTTTGCAGCCTTTACCATCGCCAGGTCCTCTACTGGGTAATACTAGACTAGTCGACGCGTATGGACCACCTATCAAGAAGCAGAGAACGGAGTCTGTGCCAACAAGCTTGAGATCGCTGGAAGAACTCAGTAAGTATCCACGTCCCAACTCGCTACAAATGTTCGGCGGCGAAGTGAGGATCCTCGATAACACGGGCGAAGTAACAAAGACAATGCGGATCGAGCCGCGACAGACCAACTCGCCCGCAAACGACCACATAATCAATGCCAATTGCGTGACCTCGGAGACGGCGTCGGTAGTGGTGAGATCGGGGCTTCATTCCGGTGGTACCATGTTACATAAGTCGTCGAGTATACCGGTTAGTACGCCCAATTCCTCCCTGTCTGACACGTCCAAGATGGCGTCGTCCATCATACCGAACATATCAACTCCCAACATAGCACCTACCATGTCTTGCTACAACTATTTGGAGCCGCACCTCAACCCGCTGACGAGTATCACTGCCTACAACCCGTTAACTTTGCCGCAAACGGGCATCACGAGCATTCTCCACGGTGACAAGGTGATACGTTATGTACCCGGCATTCCTGGACCCCATACCCTGACCGGTACGCCGGCCATAGACATATCTCCGAGTATAACGGCCGGCGAAGCCGGTTACAAGGTGATACCGGGCTTACCGGGCCTGCACATGGTACATCAACCGCTAGACTTGGCCAATCCCGTGAGGATACAACCCGGTACGGTACAGTCCGGCATGTCTGATCCATTACCTGGCCACGCTTCTTCCATATTGGACCAGCCTCTGGACCTGGCCAGTCCGGCGAAGGAATCGACAAAGGTCAGTTTTAAAACTCCCAGCGTTGACGGTCTGAAGAGCGACTTGATCAGTCCTAAAGTTCCTAGCGTCAAAGTCGAGACCTCAACGGACAAGCATCGCATGAGAATAATGACGATGCCTATTAATAAAACGGAGCTGGATCGTCATATCAAGAATAATGTGACCGTAAAGTACAAGAGTATGGAGAATCCGCGAGAGAGGAAGGAATTCACGTATGATAAGAGTCCGAAGCTGGACAAGGCTTTCAGTTATCCGAACGGTATGGATCCCGCGACTTCGGGTTCTTACAGTAAGCTAAAATACACGACTAAGGTCATTTCGGAAAACAAGAAGAAGCTTTCCAATTGGGGCGTCGATGAGGTAGACGCCGGCAGAGATGTAGAGATGCATATTGCTAAACCTCGTGTCGCTAAATACGATCTACCATCTCAAGAGAATGGTCGGTTAAAGAGTAGCGTCCCCTCGGATGTACGTGGATGGTCCAAGGTCGTGGATAGCTACATGTTCAACGGGGCCAAATTAAAGGCGGACAACGCTTCGTCGGTGATTCTTGTGAACTTAGATTCTTCCAAAACAGAAGTGCCAACGAAAACTTCGTCAGAGTTAGTTGTTAAGGACAAGCAACCCGAGGCCAAATCGCCAAAGAGCAACGGCGAGATAGCTAAGGAAGCGACTAGCGCCAACAAGTTCTTGAGACCTACATCCCTGCCGCTAAAACCCGGCACTTTCACGCCGAAGAAGCATCACGGGATTACGCCTACCGCGAACACGCTTCCTCTCATCAGCCCGGAGACACCCCGACCGAAAAAGTCTTACGGGCAATTGTACTTGAACGGACACGCCTACACATATCTAGGACTGAAGTGTTCCACCAGAGTGTTCTATTGCACTCTGAATCGACCGCAGCCGATGTACGTTACTCAGCAGCACGGTTTGTCGATGTACTCCAACTGGAAAAGTAAGGAGGCACCGCTGGACGTGGACATGTCGCACTACGACTCCCGGCACAGGCCTCTCAATTACACCACTGCGTGGAAGAAGCAAGAGGATATTCTGACGCACTCCTCGCACAGACCGACTACTCCTACCAGTCCAGACAGTGGATTGGAGAATGATATGCAGGAGAAAGCGAAGAGGGTGAAGATATTTGACGGTGGCTTTGAGAGTAATGAGGATTATACTTATGTACGCGGAAGAGGTGAGCAATGTTTAAGTTATTTTCATGGAAAATAGAGCAAAATTTTACCCCCTTCTCTTTATTATATTAATTGTCATTAATACAATTTTTTATAATAAAATTTAGTTTAATAAAATAAAATTTTTTATAATGAAATTTAATTTAATAAAATAAAATTTAATTTAATAAAATAAAATTTAATTTAATAAAATAAAATTTTTAATCAAAAAAAGAAGGGTTAACGGTCTGTATAATAATAATACAAAGTTGAATGAGAAAAGGCTTAGGACCGTGACGTAGAGTAGTACGAAATGATAATTGCGAATTAATAACGCTAAAACGGATCAACTGATGTTAAAAAGTAACTTAATAATGAAAAATCTGTCAGAGCAAAAAATTATTCAAATACATTTAAACGACAAACGCACGATCTTCGATCTTCTTCAAGATCCTTTTCAATGTCATACAAAATAATAAATTATAAAAATAAACCCAAAGATTAAAACAAAAGAAAGTCATGAGGATCTTCTTTTAATCTTTGGGTTTATTTTTATAATTTATTATTTTGCATGACATTGAAAAGGATCTGTAGAAGATCGAAACGTGCGTTTGTCGTTTAAATGTGTTTGAATAATTTTTTGAGTCACGGTCCTAAGTCTTTTCTTATTCAAATTTTGTTTTTATAATAATTTGAGACAAAAAAAATTTAATTATTATCTTTATAATTATTTTAATTATTATCTTTATTTTAATTATATTTATATATTTATATATTTTAATTATTATCTTTATTATGTAAGGTCGAGGACGCTACGTTTGTGAAGAATGTGGTATTCGTTGTAAGAAACCGTCTATGCTAAAGAAACATATCAGAACACATACAGATGTTAGACCATACACCTGCAAGCACTGTACATTTAGGTAAGTTCTTCAGATTTAATGACGACAAAATATAATTTTTATCAGCTTCTCTACTGTTTATCACGTAGTTCGAACTACATATATATATATAAATTTTTTTGCAATAGTTTCAAAACGAAAGGCAACCTCACGAAACATATGAAGTCCAAGGCCCATTACAAGAAGTGCGTAGAGTTTGGCATAGTACCAGTCCCTACGACCGTTTGTGACGAGAATATTGACAAGGAAGCCATTGCGCGATTGGCAGCCGGTGGTGGCAACACGGAAGAATCCTCAGAAGAGGAGGACGATAGCGATGGCGAGGAAAGCGAGGAATCTGGTAGCGAAGAGCAGGAAGCGGCGCAAAGTCTATTGAGTCTTTCGCAGCATAATGCGGCAAACAGATTGCCAGGTTTACTGCCATCGGGCAGACCTATGACATATCCATACGCGCTAACTCTACCGACGACCTCCACGGTGAATATCGTATCCACCGCGACCAGTACGTCGATCGTGAGCAGCCAAAGTATCGCCGCGCAAGAGACGGCCCTGATACAAAACGAATTGTCGCACCGTTACTATTTTCCATCGAGTCGCGATGCTACGGAAGAAACGAGAATCAGCGTTATTCAGTCATCGAAGAAACATGATTCCGACGTGGAGATCGAGGAAATTACCGATGTTACAGAATTACGTCATCAACCCTCGCAACCCATGGATCTCACGACGAAGCAGACGGCTCAGCTGTTGCTGTCGCCAATCTCGCAAAGAGCCAGACCAGTGGACATACTGACTCCCGTTTCGGAACCGGTCCTGCTGCAGACGATAGTCCAAACGATGGAGCGGTTGCCTATACAAGGTAGAGAATGGAAACCGAACGCGGAAGGTCACATGCTGCAGGCGTATCTTACGGAGAGACACATGATGGATAGTAAAATGAAGCAGCAGTATCGCGTGGGAAGCACCAAGTTGGACAACAAACAGGAGAGGGATATTTATCCGCAGCACCAGGATCTCGGCAGATCTAGACACATGGATTCCAACGGTATTCCATCAGTGACGTATGCTGATCCTAACAAAATGCAGCACTCTGTCATGGATTCTAGAATTAAGCACATGACGAAGCATACTAGTGACGATATTAAAATGGAAATTAGGGAAAAGATTTATCTAAACAATATGGCAATGGAAAGACGAATGTACGATTACGGAATAATTCCTAATCACAAGGATAAAAAACAATCCGATTACCTGGTTTCTGATCGTGAAAATTTTGAGCTTCTAAATCCCACTGGTACAGGGGGAAATTTCGAATATGGCTTACCTATGAGTAAGACTGGTAGCTCAATGGAGAGATCGATTTCTACCGCATCTATCCGCAGCACACCCAGTATCGATCGCCATTCACCAAAATCTTTAAATATGGACAACCGGCCGCCATTGATGCAACACACGAACAACGAGATTGACAGAAGTCCCATGTTCAATGCGATGAAAATGATGAGCGAAGTAGAGAGGTCTAGGGAATGTCCTACCATCAGTCAGGAAATGAGACCTGCGAATCACGAGATGAGACACACGACCAGCGATAGTCGAATGCAAAGTCCACGGAATCTCGATCTAAGGCCGCCCAGTAGAGAAATTAGAACCCCTGGTCAAGAGTATAGAGCGCAGAATCACGAACTGAGGCTACCGAGTCAGCAGGACTACAAAATGCGCGGTCAAGAGATGAGATCGCCTAATCGCGAATACAAGCCATCGTTCGTTCACGATATGCAAGTTATTCAGGAGCTTATGCCGTCGACAACCATGGAGATACGCCAAACGAATTCAGATAATAGGCCACCGAGCAGCGAGATGAGAACACTTTTGGAATATAGAGCACAGTCCCAAGATATCCGTGTTAATTATGAGATGATGCAGTCGCCCATGCACGAGCCACCCAAGTCGCAAAACGTCGACGCGAGAAATACATCGCCGCAAGAAGCACGAATCATCTACTACGATGCGAAACAGACTACGGATACCGTTAAACAAAATACACAGGATAACATGAAGCGAGCAGTAGCCAGGAAGATAGTTGTCGGTGGCCCAGATTTTCGATCGCCGTCACCGAATACCGGAAATTCGAAACCGCAAGCGGAATTTTTACAACCATCGAGCGGGCCAGCGCCTAACTATGTTAGGTAAATGAAATGTTTCATGATTATTTTGTTGATGTTAACTCGATGCATGATATACAGGGCGTTTCGTACCACCCATTTAAAAACTAGAGAAGTGGTTATTTTGAAAAAGTAAAAACATTTTCTTTATAAATCGGGTACGCTCTATCGAATGGTGATATTTTCAACTTCTGGTTACGGCCGGAAATAGGCGATTCAGACCGGAAGTGCATTTTTTTTTAATGGAACCCCCTATTTTTCATTGCACATTCTTGTAGCTTACCTCGAGAGCTTTCCAAAACACTATAATAAATTATTTTTCCATGAAGTACTTTTCGAGTTATGAGGCTTGAAATAATTTTTCAATTTTACGTAAATCATAAAATATCGTGCAAAATATTCATTTTTCGATTATCTTACCTTAATATTTTTATGTATAAAATAATGAGAGGAATCAATTGGTGTAAAGAAAACATATAGTTGTTTCTAAGAAAAAATATGTAATTTGCAATTAACAATTCCATATTTTTTCTTAAAAAGACTGTATGTTCTTTACACCAATTGATTCCTCTCATTATTTTGTACATAAAACTATTAAGGTAAGATAATCGAAAAATGAATATTTTACAAGATATTTTATGATTTACGTAAAATTGAAAAATTATTTCAAGCCTCATAACTCGAAAAGTACTTCATGGAAAAATAATTTATTATAGTGTTTTGGAAAGCTCTCGAGATAAGCTACAAGAATATGTAATGAAAAATAGGAGATTTCATTTAAAAAAATGCACTAATAAATAAAATAATATCACCATTCGATAGAGCGCACTCGATTTATAAAGAAAATGTTTTTACTTTTTTTAAATAACCACTTCTCTTGTTTTTAAATGGATGGTATGAAACACCCTGTATATTAAATACATATAAAATTTATTTCATATTAAATTCATTAAAAAATAGATATTTCATATTAAATTTATTAAAAAATAGATTAAAAGAAAAATACAAGAATAGAAATTAATAAAATAAAATGTGACTCTTTTTGCTTTTGTTAAAAAACAAATCTTTGACGTGTATATAATACATATATGTACGTAATAATTTCTTATATAAATATCAATCCATATACATAAGTACAAATTCGAGATCATGTCTTGTAAAATTAAATCTTTCAATCAAAATCTCAAAATTAAAAGTATTTATATGCTTAATTGAAAATTGGCATCTAATTAAATTTTATAGCTTTCATAATTTTTGGATTTGCATGTTTATCTGATCTACATTCATCAAAACAATTTTGATTTAAAAAATTAAGAGTATATAAAATAAAATGTACCTTTTTATAGTTTGACAGAAGATGGTAGGAGTATATGTGGAATTTGTAACAAGGTGTTCAACAGGCCTAGTCAGTTACGGTTGCATATCAATATTCATTATTTTGAACGGCCATTCAGATGCGAAAGTTGTGCAGTTTCCTTTCGGACTAAAGGCCATTTAACGAAACATGAGAGATCCGTTTCTCATCATAATAAGGTAAGCGATGAAATTTCTTTCCACGAGCAATATCATATAATTTTTAGCTTTAGATTATATAATAAATAATATATAATAAATAATATATAATATTGTATAATAAATAATATATAATATTGTATAATAAATAATATATAATATTGTATAATAAATAATATATAATATTGTATAATAAATAATATATAATAAATAATGTATATAATATTTTACAGGTCAGTATGACTTCCACATTTGGTGCAGCGACTAGCAGCAATCCCAGGCCCTTCAAATGTACAGATTGTAAGATAGCATTCAGGATACACGGACATTTGGCCAAGCATCTTCGTAGCAAGATGCATATTATGAAGTTAGAATGTTTGGGCAAATTACCATTTGGAACATTTGCGGAAATGGAAAGATCTGGTGTCAATTTGAATGACATCGACACGACAGACTGTGATAATAGTCTTAATAGTCTGCAGGTTCGTAACAAAACAAATCTCAACTACACGCATTTCTTAAATTAAAAAAAAAAATAAATAGGAGAAATTGTGTAATAAGCTCTCAATTAATAAATAATAAAGATACAATATAAAATAAGCGTAGAGAGCTGGTAACTAAATTAAGATAAAGAGGAAGAAATTAAACCATAAAGAAAATTTTTATTAATTAACTTAGTAGTTGAACGGTGCTAAATAATTAAATAAATCTTAATGCGCTGAAGAAGACTAGAAAAGTCTAGCCGAAACATCCGAATATCCATGTAAAACATACTTAATATTATCCTTTTAAATGGAGGCAAATTTAGTTAATTAATAAAAAATTTAGTTAATTAATAAAAAATTTTTTTGATTTAATTTCTTCCTCTTTATTTTAATTATATATATTTTATATTATATTTATATTATATTATTTTATTTTATATTTATATTATATTATTTTATATTTATATTATATTTATTATTTAAAATTATTTAAAAATTATTATATTATCTTTATAATATATATCATATTTATTATTTAAAATTATTAAAAATTATTATATTATCTTTATTATTTAAAAAAAAATGTTAACGATAAGAAAACGCTTTTTCCTCGACAGATATTGGCTCAGAGATTATGCGGGAAGGATCCTGCCAAAATCGCGCCATGGGATTCGGAAACAATGCCCGGCCCGGTTGTGAGCGGTGGCGAGACTTCGTCAGACGAGGGTGAACCTATCGGGCAGCACGCACTTCACGCACAATATGTAAAAGCGACGACGGACGCGGATGTTTCCCGATCATATCACGTGCCAATCATTACCGAAGAACCGAAAGTCATTAACGATGTTCGTCTACGCAGTCCTCAGTTTAATCAGCAACGACGCGATTACGCTGTCAAAGAGCAACGAACAATCCCGGCTGTCGTTTCGATAGAAAACACGAGGGCGGAAGACAATTTACAATCATACAAGTGCCAAGTTTGCTCCGTATCTTTGCGTACCGTAAACGAGTTACAGGTACACCATTTTGTTGAACATAATATTGAACCAGATTCTAGTACAAATATCCATGGAGATAGGAGTGCGGGTAAAAGTAGGGAAAAAGAGAATACTCAGAAAAGAATTGCAGAAGAATCCGCGAAGGAAGATCACGGTAGGCAAAGACTAGAAGATACATAGTGCCAAAACGATATAGCGTACTAAGGAATTTGTTTGGATGGTGTCCGCAATGTTACACACTTTGAGAACTCGGTTTTGAGATAAGGTATCCTATAGAAAAACGCATCACAGATATTTTACAGGGAGAGAAAAAAAATATCTCGATAAGTGTAACAATACAATGTTTTATGTCTGGAGAGAAACGTTTCTCAAAAGTTAACGTATTAACGCATGTTGAACACTTGCAAAGATTTAAACGAGTCGCGAGTTGTTTGTAATTTTAAGAAAAATTACAGATTAATGTAAATTTGCAGTTTTACGTTGCCGGATTATTTTGCAAATTTCTGAAGATTTTACACAATTTTTCAGAGAAGTATAAAAGACGTGGATATCATGAAAATGATAATGCAATATAAATTTGCAGTTTTACGTTGCCGGAATATTTTGCAAATTTCTGAAGATTTTACACAATTTTTCAGAGAAGTATAAAAGACGTGGATATCATAAAAACAATATAAATGAAAAATTGTCTCGATCATATTTCTTCCACTACAGATGTTGGTTCACTATAATTGCTTCTATTGCAAACCTAACGCGACACGATCGCTTGTACAGTCCTCCTGTAAGACTTTACACTCTTCCTCACAAAACCGGTATAATATAACGCGTTAAGTAAAAAGAAAAAAAAAACATAGCTCGATTATCTGATAATAAGTATAATATTTATACACAATAGTATCTCTTGTAGCGAGCATGACGTGCAATGAACTAGCATGTGATTCTGTATTTAAAGTGCAAATGTTGCTTTCAACATGTTGAAGAGTATTCTAATATTACACTTTAAATTGATATGAAGCTTATATACATATATATATTATATATTATATATTTGTATGATATTAGTATGAACAATTATGAGAGTTATTGTTGATATAAGAGGAAATGTGTTTGTATATATTTATGTATAATATAACATGAGGAATCATGTTAGTCTCTATTATAGTTTTAAGAAAAATCAGAAGTCAGAGATTGTATCGGTTGCTCAGATTACTTATAAATTTACAAGCTTTTATTAAACGCTGCAAATTTAGTTTCCACGTTTCTTGGAAGATTTTCTTACAAGTAAATAGGCTGCGATAAGTGTCTATTTTAATTTTATCGGAAATATTGTTAGATGTATTTAATTATCTTTATATTTTACATCCAATATTAGTGTAAATCCTAATTGATCTTACTTGTTTTTTTATATGCTCTGAGGGACCGATTTGCTGATTCTGCTTAAGACATTTAAGAAGCCAGATACCTTCCATGAGCGACAGCTATCTTATAATTAACTGTCTCCATCTCTCTGTAATGCTATATGCAGTTTTGATATCTCACTCAAGCACGAAAATGTCTTTCCTACACTGCATAATCAGACACCGTTTATCACAATTTGTACCTAGATGTGCTTGAGCTAAGATAATAGGGGTACGGAATGACTGCACAATTGTATACAATGAGGTCCAGTCTGAGTGATTGTCACTAAACGATATCAATGTAGCATAGTCTAACATAGCATTTTGGATGTATATCTATTATCTATATAATTCTGTCGACTCCAACTGCAAAAACTACATACGAGCTTCCAAGATGTGTACATACATGTGTTCTATATGTACCCAAAAAATGCCAAGCCAACAATTTGCGTTTGAGGAGATCAGCCAAAAGGATGATACATCAAAGTTGACTCTGAGTGTAAAAATGACGACGCGATTTTTTCATGTGAAATGCGAAATATTTTGCAGACACCCCAGGTAGAGCATGAAACTCATAATGACATCATTATGACGTCACCTAAAAGTCATTTTAGAAAAATCATAATCATCTCATTTGATATACTTTTGGCAACATTTTGTGACTTATTAATATCATTTTTTATTTATATTATGCAATTACTTGTTTATTTAATTAGTCATGTATATTTAATATATTATTATATATTTTTATATTTAATTATTCATGTATATTTTAATATATTATTATATATATATATATATATATATTATATATATATTTTAATATATTATTTTATATATATATATATATTATATATATTATTATATTTTAATATATATTAATATATTTTAATATATATTGCAGAATATAATATTCATGTAATTTTTATTACATTTAAGCAACATAATCTTTTTAAAATTATATAATGCGATTATTGAACTTAAAAATTTATGATTTTTTTTGTCATCTTTAACTCATTTTTTAGTCATGTTTGTTTAGGTAACTTTTAAGTGATAAATAAAATCATGATGACGTCATAATGATGTCATTATGAGTTTCATGTTCTACCTGGGGTACGTGTAACACACGTGTATCTCTTGGCTATCTGCGTGTATACTTGTATGTGATTTCGAAGGGATGTACTTTTTGCCAAATTATAGATTGATATTCTCAACAATATATTTTCGAAACGTAGTCGTCCATAGAAATATCAGGTATTTTCAAACGTATACATATCATATCCACTGATATCTCGATATTAACCGAGACGATGGATGGCTATGCGTTTTATCATTTGATCAAATCGCACGGCACAAGTTAAATTTACTTAGTAACGGACTTACGGTTTCGAGTGTGTCCTTGTACGAGGCGAGATCCTCTCTTCAAAATCCTCCTTAAACACACGTGCACGAGCTTGATTTTTGCCAAAAAGTCACACTCGCGAATTTTAGTCGTAAAAAACGCGAAAAATGACGGAAAATTCGCTTCGATTCAAAAAACTTTGCCACCACTTTACACTCGCGAAAAAACACGGCCGCGATGCATATATTCGATCTGAACACTGGCAACTCAGAATTCAAATTCTACAACGTTAAACTGGACGTTTGGACAAATATAACAATATGAAGTGAAATAATATAACACTAATTTTTTAAAATTGTAAAGAGATTTTTATAAATTTCGAAATTTCTTACAATCATTTTTCTTTAAATTTATACATGTGCTACGTGATTTTAAGGTCAAAGGAAAATGCTCGACTTACGTTGTCCAGCCGCGAAATACGATATGCTATGATAAGGCACGTTCCACTTGACAAGTTTGCAACGGATGTTGTGATCGTTAAATGAAACGTACGTATTTCATTACAATATGGTAATTTTAAAATATATAAAAGAGATTAATAATTTTTATATTTCAATTAATCTGTCTTTATATATAAAAATCTTTTTATATTTCGAAAATTGTTCAAGCGAGAGAGCAGAAATATATTTCTATATAATTTCTTTTTTCTGATAGCCAGAATATCTCGCAAATAATTTGAGATTTTTTTTATTCAGCCATCCAATTAAAAAAGCTAGTGGAAGAATAATTTTATTTACGAATTTAGAAAGAGGTATAAAATTGTTTGTATTAGAAAGATATCGCAGAAATGATTACAAATCGTGATTAAATATCACAGATATGATTTTAAATTTTTTATTTTTAAATCTGTCTTTATATATAAAAATCTTTTTATATTTCGAAAATTGTTCAAGTGTGAAAGAGCAGAAATATATTTCTATATAATTTCTTTCTTTTGATAGCCAGAATATCTCGCAAATAATTTGAGATTTTTTTTATTCAGCCATCCAATTAAAAAAGCTAGTGGAAGAATAATTTTATTTACGAATTTAGAAAGAGGTATAAAATTGTTTGTATTAGAAAGATATCGCAGAAATGATTACAAATCGTGATTAAATATCACAGATATGATTTTAAATTTTTTATTTTTAAATCTGTCTTTATATATAAAAATTTTTTTATATTTCGAAAATTGTTCAAGTGAGAGAGCAGAAATATATTTTTATATAATTTCTTTCTTCTGATAGCCAGAATATCTCGCAAATAATTTGAGATTTTTTTTATTCAGCCATCCAATTAAAAAAGCTAGTGGAAGAATAATTTTATTTACGAATTTAGAAAGAGGTATAAAATTGTTTATATTAGAAAGATATCGCAGAAATGATTACAAATCGTGATTAAATATCACAGATATGATTTAAAATTTTTTATTTTTAAATCTGTCTTTATATATAAAATTTTTTTTATATTTCGAAAATTGTTCAAGTGAGAGAGCAGAAATATATTTTTATATAATTTCTTTCTTCTGATAGCCAGAATATCTCGCAAATAATTTGAGATTTTTTTTATTCAGCCATCCAATTAAAAAAGCTAGTGGAAGAATAATTTTATTTACGAATTTAGAAAGAGGTATAAAATTGTTTATATTAGAAAGATATCGCAGAAATGATTACAAATCGTGATTAAATATTACAGATATGATTTAAAATTTTTTATTTTTAAATCTGTCTTTATATATAAAAATCTTTTTATATTTCGAAAATTGTTCAAGTGAGAGAGCAGAAATATATTTCTATATAATTTCTTTGTTCTGATAGCCAGAATATCTCGCAAATAATTTGAGATTTTTTTTATTCAGCCATCCAATTATAAAAAAGCTAGTGGAAGAATAATTTTATTTACGAATTTAGAAAGAGGTGTAAAATTGTTTGTATTAGAAAGATATCGCAGAAATGATTACAAATCATGATTAAATATCACAGATATGATTTTAAATCTTTTATGTTGAAAAAAATATTTGCTAGTTTTTTGCATCGAACAATCAATACATTATTCTCATTGTTATTCTCTTTTTATTATTAAAAAAAAAAAAGATTCAGTCGTGTAATTCGAACATATGTTTTAATCGTATTCTGATGTCCTCTTTTGCAAACGTATACATTTCACATATATATTTATACCATTTGATATTATTAATTTCTTCAATAAGATGATTCAACATACGACTTTCACGATATTCGATTTCGACTAGAGTCTGTATGTGCGTAGTACTAAAAGAACCATGTTTATAAACTAAATATCTCCTATAAAGTATAAGTACAAGTATCTGATAAATATCTGATAAGAGGAACGAGGACATATTTATTATTGAGAGTGTTTACATACGCATCTATACGATTTATACGAAAAAAAAAAGTTGGCTTGGCTTCCTTCAGACTCAGTATTAGACTTGAAAATAACGAAGAAAAAAAGATGACGAAAAAAGCTTGTACGGCTTCTAGATGGTTTTATATATTTCTGTTTTTTATGCAGATGAATCGACGCTCGATTTCACGAGTTTCCGAAGAAACTCTTGCTCGCCTCCAGCCCCCCCCCCTCCTATTTCCATATTTTTTTGCGGCGATTTGAACGATTTAAATTTTATATAAATATATATATATATATATATATATATATATACGCGCATTGTGTAAACGATGACACAAATACCTGGCAATATAGTATTTTATATGTATTATAGATCTTTAAGATTTTATAAATGTTCTTCCGCGTGCGCAAGGGAGCGAAGGAGAAAGATAGAGAGATGTAAACAGAGTGTAATTTCATCCTTAGGCTCGCATAAATTACGTCGTGGGCTTCTGCGAGCTGCGGCTGCTTCAACGAATCCACCTCTGGCTTGAGCAACTTTATCACGAGAACCTTGAAATTGGATCCAATGGGCTCTTTTTGCCCATCGATATCAGACCATGGGACCGGAATGATAATTTTATAAGCGTATACTTGAGTAAGGTAGCAAACGGATTTTACGAATGCCAACGAGTTTTGTCAGTGTCATCGTTACTTTTCTTCCTAATTCTGTGAATTCTGTTAAACTATTGATGAGAATATATAATTTTTATTTATTGTAAATAAAAGAAAGAACATTGCTGAAAGAGCGTTTTATATATTATGCATTCTGAATCGATACATAACACACTTAGACTTTATCAAATAGTGATAAGACTATCTATTGGTCCAGAGATTGTAAGGCAAATTGTACAGAGAAAGGGTTCATAATATGAATACGACTTTGTACAGTGATTTTGCAAGGACGAAAGTACAACTTTAGGAACAGAGACAATGTGGGACAGGAATAAAAAGTTAATTTGCGATAATAACGTATTGTTTATTGAAAATTAAGTAACCCTTACGTACAATAGAAAACGTTTGAAATTAATACTCATAATACAAAAAGAAATATTAACATCCATTTAATACAAAAAGAAATATTAACATCCATTTAATACAAAAAGAAATATTAACATCCATTATATGTTTCTTGTCTGCTTAACGTGCATCGAAAACAACAACTAAAAATCACATTAAGGAAAATTTCTAGATATTTTGGTTTGAGATTATTATAATTAATTTGAGATTATTATAATTATTATAATTAACTTACAGTTAAATTAGAAAGTATGAAAAGGATACGTCTTTTAGTGCGCTTTTTATACATAATACGATATCCACATTCTCTGCATCGAATTGGATCCTTGGAACGTATCTCATTGTCATGGTGACATTCTAAAACAAATTTTAAATTTGATTATATAATATAAATAAATAGAAACTATTTTTTTTTAATATAATGTAACATCTATTCAATATAATTGTAGAGAGATACATATTGTTCTAGAAATTTCAAACATTTCTTGAAAGAAATGCGTAAATACATATCTTGTCAATTTCAACAAGAAATAATTGATATAATTTATAAAATTTTTAATAAACATAAGTATAAAAAAAATATATACAAATATATAGTAGTTGCTTTCCACCCAAGTGATTGCTTATCGCTCAAGTACTGGTGGTACTGAGTCACAGTTATAAGTATACTTAGATCAGTGACATCATTATTTAGTTTAGATTGTACATCAGTTTAGTATCAGTAAGAGTATATACAAAACTTTGGTCTACTGATATTCGCCAGTAATTTTATTACATATAATAGTTGCTTTTCAAATTCAGATTCTCACTTGTGATGTCATAACTCAGTTGGACACACATTCTCTTTGTTGCGAGTAAGATTCAACTGAGTTTTTATAATTTGAATATATTCGAGACTGCGTTTTAATTAATCTAAAGCTAATATTACATTTGTCGTACAACAAATTTTTTAAGTACATTGATTGACTGCGGGATAGTAATTTTTTGATTCTTCAGAAATTTTCTATTCCACAGCCAATTAATGTGCTTAAAAAATTTATTGTACAACAAATGTAATATTGGCCTAAGATTCAACTGAGTTTTTACTGTTAATTTAAATACATTTGAGACTGCGTTTTAATCAATCTAAGACTAATATTACATTTGTCGACAAATTTTACGACAAATTTTTTAAATAAATTGATTGACTACAGGATAATAATTTTTTAAATCTTTAGAAACTTTCTATCCTGCAGCCAATTAATGTGCTTAAAAAATTTATTGTACAACAAATGTAATATTGGCCTAAGATTTAACTGAGTTTTTACTGTTAATTTAAATACATTTGAGACTGCGTTTTAATCAATCTAAGACTAATATTACATTTGTCGACAAATTTTACGACAAATTTTTTAAATAAATTGATTGACTACAGGATAATAATTTTTTTAAATCTTTAGAAACTTTCTATCCCGCAGCCAATCAATGTGCTTAAAAAATTTATTGTACAACAAATGTAATATTGGCCTAAGGTTCAACTGAATTTTTACTGTTAATTTGAATACATTCGAGACTGCGTTTTAATCAATCTAAAGCTAATATTACATTTGTCGTTCAAATTTTTTAAGCACATTGATTGACTGCAGGATAGCAATTTTTTAAATCTTTAGAAACTTTCTATTTCGCAGCCAATTAATGTGCTTAAAAAATTTATTGTACAACAAATGTAATATTGGCCTAAGGTTCAACTGAGTTTTTACTGTTAATTTGAATACATTCGAGACTGCGTTTTAATCAATCTAAGACTAATATTACATTTGTTGTACGACAAATTTTTTAAGTAAATTGATTGGCTACAGGATAATAATTTTTAAATCTTGAGAAACTTTCTATCCTGCAGCCAATCAATGTGCTTAAACAATTTATTGTACAACAAACGTAATATTAGCCTAATGTATTTACTAATTTTTTTTTTAATAAAGTGATGTTTACTAACATGAAAAGTAAGGTTATGAATCTCACTCGCCGGTATTTGTTTCTTTCTACTCGGTGAAAAAAAAAAAAAAAACAAATACGAGAGAATGTGTGTTCAATTGAATTATGACGTCACAATGTTTTGCCTGCGAAGGAAAGATTAAGAAATAACTGAAGAAATGTGCCTTTACCTCCACAAATATATACCATAGTTGGTTTTTGCGCAGATTCAGACTTGCTGGATTCCATCTTACTCCGTAAGTTGCTTTATTCTTTTTTTCTTCCTTAAGCCTTGAAAAATCACGCTTAGCGCGTTGAAAAGATAAATGAATACGATCGCGTACAAGAATCCTCTTCCCCTCCTTCTTTTCTTCTTTAGATTGTCAGGAGTGACTGGTTTCTCGAGTGGTTTTTCGACTATCTCGATTTTCTCGGCTTCGTCGACTTCTTCGCCCATGATTACTTCAACATAGATTACAACAATCCTCTGCCCTGCGACTCGCCGGTGAGCTATATATACTGAAATAACTGGCGCATGCGCGAGCGCAGACAAAGGCTGAGTTGCGGGCCTATCTAATCAAAGAGGGGAAAAAAAATACAAATAGAAAGGAAGATAAGTAGCAACTAAAGCCATCTGCCCAGTAGAATTCAGACGTCTCCGACGTTATATTTGAAGATCCATCGTCGGGTAAAATAGAAAGGATGTCTTTATTCTAATTGGTTATTTTTTTTTCTTTTTTTTTATTGAGCAAAAGCAAGGCATTGGCTCTAGGCCAGTGTTACGAAATTCGTTATCTACAGTAGGTATCCTAAGTTTGTACTATATAGTTTTAAATTATATACATAAAGTAAATTAAATTTATTACTAAATGAAATATTAAATATTGCACTTATTGATAGAAACATTGAAAGAAAAATAAAAATGCTCAGAGAATAGCTTAATTCACTAGTATAACACTAAGTTAGAAATTAGAAATAACGACCTAAATAGGGTAGGTTTAAATTTAAAAATGCTTAAAAATTAAAATTTAATATTAAATAATAATAATTAATTAATTAATTAATTAAGCAGTTAAATTAAACATCAAATTCTGATTGGTTAATTAAACGCTGTTTGAAGAACGCCCTCTCATGTCGAACAAGCAGAAAATTTTGTTATCTTAATGCACGAGCTGTCAGTAGATGACGTTAGTGCGAATGTTATGCAATGGCAGGTGATGGTGAGATGATTGGACACTATTCATATGTTGTCCTCTCTCTCTCTCTCTCTCTCTCTCTTTTTATGTATATTTTGAAAAACAATCAATTTCAAACTAAAAATGTAAATATTGTCATATTATTGTGTTTCTTATATATTTTAAACACATGATTAAATAACGTTTCTCTAAAATATATTTTATAAGTCGTTCCAATACAGTCAATATTAATTAAAATTTCACTAATATCCCATTCTTTCCAATACTCGCGATATTAATATGAAATATATATTATAATGAACATTATTTTCATCATTCAAGTGACATCGCATGCGCGTAAAAATTCAAACAAATCGTTCAATTATCCAATTTGGCGATCATAATTATTTTCGTGAGGAGCAAAAATTTTTGCCGTAGAAATACTCGCGAAAATTTTTCACGTCTTCTAAAAAAAAAACCCAACAGCCACTTCGATTGCTGACCGAGAGACATCTGTAGCGCCGGATGTGGTGCACCCCAATGTACCGCGCTCACGCATGAGTAGCACGGAAATTGGAGAAGACGAACGGGAAAATCTCCCGACGACAGAAGCCTGCTCGCGCGCGCCTTTCCAGCATCCGGAACGGCCGGCCAATAGGGCCGCTTGGCAACGAACGGCGGGACGAGGTGACGCGCGCGATTTGCCGACTGGCGCGCGTGGGAGACGCGCGATTGGCCGGCTGGCGCGCGCGGGCAGGCGCGCGATTGGCCGGCTGGCGCGCGCGGGGAGGCGCGCGATTGGCTGGCTGGCGCGCGTGGGGGGCGCGCGTGTGCAGCGAGGGAATACACGAGACGTTTTGCTCTCAATGTGTCGGTGGAACGCCGCGGCGCCCGGACGCTTCTCCAAGGGAGAGCTGCGTGTTTTCCCGGGTTACGCACCCCTGGCCGTTCGCGGTGAAAGTCGGCCCAACAACTAAACCCAGGGTAAATTATCCTTGAGAATAATTATCGTCGAAAATCGGCGAAATATTCGCGAATATTACGCTCGTGAAAGTCGATCGCGGTGAAAGTCGGCCAGGCTTTTATTTACGAAACGCGCGAAGGGTGATCTCTCTCCATGAGCCTCCTGGTGGTGCTGTTGACGAGCGGCAGAAGGGGCGAGAAAAAGGAGAGGAGGGGGAAAGGCACGGCAGATGCGAAGTGCGTATTTCCCGCGCGACGCACACGTGAGTGAAGTGCGAAGCGATATGAGCGTCCGTGTCAACATTATCGAAACGTCAAGCGCCGCTCGCGCCCAACTTCGCGGTGTAGCTAACTTCACCGGGAAGCGATTAGTGCCGCGGTATGACACTTGTAATATGATTGACGCCGAGAAAAATCGTCTCGTTTGACAGTGCTTCGAGGACGAAATAATATTTACGTTTTCGGGACTTCCAGTGGAGATATATTGATATCCCGACGCGTTAGAAACTCAATTGTAATTGTATACGTATACAAGCACGAAGTGTGTTATCAGTGTTTTTCTCAGATGCCATAAAAAGGTCAACAGGGTAGGTAAGTCGCTTAAAAGATAGTTGAAGCTGATGAGCAGGTGTGAGACTTCGAAAAACCATTCGTTTCGAGGCAGATAAAAACGGCAGGATGGAGGAAGTCGAGAGCATGCCCATCTCCGTCGACGCCAGTTCCCACGACAGCGTCGACAGCGGCTACCTGTCAATTCTGACACCTCACACCAGCGGCTGCAGCTCGATGACCGGCTACAGGACACGATCGTCCTCCGGCGCGTTATTGTCGGCCAAGAAGTGCTGCAGATTCCGTACGGACCCGTTTCAATGCGAGAAGGCGCAGAGACGCCGCTCCAAGCTCAACCACACGTTGAACGCCTCGGAGTCCGACTACCTCGTCTCCGAGAGTTCCTCCGTCGAGCAGGAATCGTCGTGTACGAATGTCAACCAAAGCCTCAGCCTGGTGCACTCTACGCCGAGCTGCGCCGACAATAAGTACACGGAGATTCTCAGGATCAAGAACAGGAGGAACTGGAGGACCACGGTACTCATCACTCCCGCGTCCAACGATTTCCAGCTCCTGTCGCCGCCTCTGTCGCCGGCGGTGCCCTCCTCGTCCTTCGTGGCCTCGGAGCCCGTTGAGGAGGATGTGGAGATGAAGCTAGTCCATTCGGAGGGTAAATCGCAGGTTCAGGCAACACCCCCGAGACTCAGAGTCTCGATACCGCGGATTGTCATCTCACCGGCTCGCAGAAGGATCAGCCCCGCGATCACATCGGAGAATCAGAAACTGAGTAAACTGTGTATCGCGGACTTGTCCGAGATTAAACCGAAGAGGCTGGACTTCAGCCATCGTGGTCTAGCGCTGCGAAATAATATTCGTAGAGCTACCTTGGATTATACGGGGCGGGAGAAGGTGGATTTCCTGTCTCTCCTGGGAGAGGAGAGCAACCATTTGAACCTGGTGTCGAAGATTCTATCTTATCTTGGACCTCCGGATCTCTGCTCGGTCAGTATGGTGTCCGCGGCTTGGAGGAGGATCTGCGAGAACGATTCTGGTGCCAACGGAAGAAGGATGAGTTACATTCTGCGCAAGCAAAACATCAAGGAGAACCTGAAGGTGACGTTCAAGAAGGCGAAACGCGAGGAGGATATACAGACGAGTCCCAAGAGCAGGCACTACGTCAGGAAGGGCTTCTTGGTGGACGTACAGAACTTCTTATACGTTCCAGCGCAACCGAGACCCCCGAATAGTCCACCTGTCTCGCCGAGCAAAGTCAAGTTTCACTCCTATGTCAAGGTAAGTCGGTCAATTTATGTAAATCAATTTTTATAAATTGAATCATTTAATCAATTTATAGAAATTGATTTAATCAATTTATATCATCAATTCTTATCAATTTTATATGTTATTTGTACTAAAATATTTGATTAATTTTATTGATATAATATTTGAATTAATTCTATTGAAAGCTAGTAATTCATAATAATATTTAAATACTAAATTATCACTAATTATGATTAAAAATTGAAAATTCAATAAACATGCTTGGGAGAAATTCTATAATAATATGAAATAAATAAATAATTTCCAAAAGATTTATTACAATTTCTCGCTATTATTTATTAAATAAATATGTCGAATTTTTTAATCAAATATGTGATTAAAAATTATTTATTTATTTCATAAATAATAGCGAGAAATTGCATTAATAAATCTTATAGAAATTATTTATAGAATTTGTTCCAAGGATATTTATTGAATTTCTAATTTTTAATCACATGATTTTTACACGTGAAATATTGTAAAAATTCGCTACATATTTAAATATTACTAGCTTTTATCCACTTTATATCAATAGAAATTTTATTTCATTTTGGTTTCATATTTACGTGTCAGAATTTATCGAATATTTGCATAAATTTATAATGAATTACAATCGAAAAAATAATTTTTCTGAATGAATATTGTGAGAATAAAATTGAGAAAAATCACAGTAAAATCAATGACTTCTATTGAAAGCTAGTAACATTCAAATACTAAATTATCACTAATAATATGATTAAAAATTGAAAATTTAATAAACATGCTTGGAAGAAACTCTATAAATAATTTCCAAAAGATTTATTACAATTTCTCGCTATTATTTATTAAATAAATATGTCGAATTTTTAAATCAAATATGTGATGAAAAATTATTTATTTATTTCATAAATAATAGCGAGAAATTGCATTAATAAATCTTATAGAAATTATTTATAGAATTTGTTCCAAGGATATTTATTGAATTTTTAATTTTTAATCACATGATTTTTACACGTGAAATATTGTAAAAATTCGCTACATATTTAAATATTACTAGCTTTTATCTACTTTATATCAATAGAAATTTTATTTCATTTTGATTTCATATTTTCGTGTCAAAATTTATCGAATATTTGCATAAATTTACAACGAATTACAATCGAAAAAATAATTTTTCTGAATGAATATTGTGAGAATAAAATTGAGAAAAATCGCAGCAAAGTCAATGACTGAAATGCAAAATCTGTTCAAAGCTTCAAAGAACCACGTGCGCTAAATTTCCCAGGGTTCTCGGGTGTTCGACACTCGCGGGAATTATTAACGCATGTTTCACTTGTTTGAGAATCGTATTCGTTGAGTTTATCTCATAACAGCTAGATAATTCGCGCTGGTATCCGAGACGTATCTATTCTCTTTAATGTGATATATATCTCTTTAATTGAATAATGATAATATACAATGACTCGGGATATGCGATTAACAACTATTTCATCGAGAAAGTCACGATTATATTCTCGGCAGCATTAACACCTTAGAATTTATAATAATACTTAAGCAGTTATGTAATGATTCTAATTTGAATATGATTGTCTGGTCTTGATTTATTGAGAGTGATTGCATTCTCCTTTTGATGCTCTCGATAGTAAAAGGTTTTTTAATTTCTTTTTATCTTTTAAATAAAATACATTTTATCAATTTGCTATTAGAATATTTTTTATTTTTTATTTTTTATTGTTTTTACTAATATCTTGTGTATTACATATAATATTATGGAAATTAATATGCTAATTTTTCTCTTAAAATAATACATGCACAACGTACGTAAATTATTAGGCATATTGAAATACGAAAAAAATGTTGTATTTTTTATTAACTCAAATAATTAAAAAATTCATCTCAATTATTAATTTAATTTTTACAAAAAAAAATTATTAATTACTGCTTTTGCAAAAAATTATTTGTCTGCCGGATGATAAAATTCAAAATCAGATAATCATGCATAATGCGTATTTTAATTATGATGGCGAATACATCTTCAGTGTGCGTCGTTATGCATGTAATTAATTAATAGTCGAGCTGTGCTCATGATCGATTGCTCTAGACTGTAAATGAAATATAGCAGTGATATCGACTAGAATTGTTACAATTCGAAGCTTCAAAAAATATATTTTTACAAATTCATGGAAAGAATGTTGAAAATATTGTAAATAAAAGTGAATTAATTAATATATGATATTATATAAAAATTATTTAAAAATTAAATTATTAAAAATAATTAAAAAATTATTAAAAATTATTGAAAATCAAAATTTTTGGGCATATTTTTCAATTTATTTTTCAGCATTTTATTCAGATTTTGTCCTATAATTTTATAAATATGTATGTATCGAAGTCTTGGAGCTAAATCAGCAGCCCTAGTATCGACGATTCGAATGTTGCGTTACGCATTGCGTCAGACAGCTAAATCCGTAATTAAGAATGCCGGTTGGACTTTGTGTCTGTAGTTTTGGCACTCGTAATTCTCGCGAGAACAGAAACAGGACAGATAATTACCAGAGCCAGCTATAATCGATACCCTGGTCGGTAGTCTCGGGATTTCCTTTTCACTTTAAGTTAGCATCCGCTCATAGTTCGCGCGCGCGAAATCGAATCGCGGTCGGGTAATTGTTTTGATTGCGAGATCATTACTTTGACGTTGATTTATCGCCATATTGGCTTTGAGCCGCCGCGAGGGATAATTGCTTCGTGGGTCGTTAAGGCCGGGGATAAGCGAGGTCCGTCAACGGTGTGCAGAATTTGACGGATGTTCGTTTCTCGATGATGAGACTCCGTCTGTTTTGTATAATTTCATCGTGCACGATGATTGAAATTCATACCGCGATATTGCACCTCGGTGCGATAAGGAACGCTGCAAATTAACGCAAAATTTATTTTGTGAAAAAAAGAAATATTTTATGCAATCTTATAGTGATTGCAAAATCTGGGAGCAATGCAATAATAATAATAATAATATTAAATTCTCAGCCCATACAGCAATATTGCTGCAATGTAGCAACAATGGTCTGTGCTGTAGAAAGATTTAATATAATAAACAGATAATAAATTATAATAATATATAATAAATAAAAATAATAAATAAAATAAACAGATAATAAGATTTAAAATATTAAACAGAAATAAATCTTTTTTTTTTTTTTTTTAAAATCATGAATAAAAATATAAAATTGTATAAATTTGTATTGCGATGTTATACGTTATTAAAGAACGTTTAATTAGAGAGATCTTAAAAGTTGAAGGCGATTTTAATATTTTTTTATATCCTAGATCCAAGAATTGTCGAAGTACGAAAGAGCCTCGTATAATATCGCGAGGGAATCTGTTCTGTATAATTTCATCGTGCACGGTGATTGAAATTCATCCCGCGATATTGCACCTCGGTGCGATAAAGAACGCTGCAAATTAACGCAAAATTTATTTTGCGAAAAAAAGAAATATTTTATGCAATCTTATAGTGATTGCAAAATTTGGGAGCAATGCAATAATAATAAGAATATTAAATTCTCAGCCCATACAGCAATATTGTTGCAATGTTGCTGCAATGTAACAACAATGGTCTGTGCTGTAGGAAGATTTAATATAATAAACAGATAAATAACATTTATTATTATTATTTTTTTTTCAAAAAAATTATGAAGAAAAATATAAAATTGTATAAATTTATATTGCGATGTTATACGTTATTAAAGAACGTTTAATTAGAGAGATCTTAAAATTCGAAGGCGATTTTAATATTTTTTTATATCCTAGATCCAAGAATTGTCGAAGTACGAAAGAGCCTCGTATAATATCGCGAGGGAATCTGTTCTGTATAATTTCATCGTGCACGGTGATTGAAATTCATCCCGCGATATTGCACCTCGGTGCGATAAAGAACGCTGCAAATTAACGCAAAATTTATTTTGCGAAAAAAAGAAATATTTTATGCAATCTTATAGTGATTGCAAAATTTGGGAGCAATGCAATAATAATAAGAATATTAAATTCTCAGCCCATACAGCAATATTGTTGCAATGTTGCTGCAATGTAACAACAATGGTCTGTACTGTAGGAAGATTTAATATAATAAACAGATAAATAACATTTATTATTATTATTTTTTTTTTTCAAAAAAATCATGGAGAAAAATATAAAATTGTATAAATTTATATTGCGATGTTATACGTTATTAAAGAACGTTTAATTAGAGAGATCTTAAAATTCGAAGGCGATTTTAATATTTTTTTATATTCTAGATCCAAGAATTGTCGAAGTACAAAAGAGCCTCGTATAATATCGCGAGGGAATCTGTTCTGTATAATTTCATCGTGCACGGTGATTTAAATTCATTCCGCGATATTGCACCTCGGTGCGATAAGGAACGCTGCATTTAAATTTTAAAATTTATTTTGCGAAAAAAAGAAATGTTTTATGCAATCTTATAGTGATTGCAAAATTTGGGACCAATGCAATAATAATAATAATATTAAATTCTCAGCCCATACAGCAATATTGCGACAATGTAACAACAATGATCTGTGTGCTGTAGGAAGATTTAATATAATAAACAGATAAATAACATTTATTATTATTATTTTTTTTTTCAAAAAAATTATGAAGAAAAATATAAAATTGTATAAATTTATATTGCGATGTTATATTATTAAAGAACGTTTAATTAGAGAGATCTTAAAATTCGAAGGCGATTTTAATATCCTAGATCCAAGAATTGTCGAAGGACGAAAGAGCCTCGTATAATATCGCGAGGGTGATTACGACAGGCGTCAAACTTTACGTAATGTTTATGGACAGTCCATGGCATGTTGTGTCATTTCCGCGCAAATGTTCCCATTACATTCCCACGTACGGTTCCGCTGAATCTTCATAAAGTTGCGCGCGCACGCCAAAGCTCGCGTTAGAGGCAAAGCGGCGGGACAAACGCGATGATTTACTCGCGG